AGAGAGAGAGAGAGAGAGAGAGAGAGAGAGAGAGAGAGAGAGAGAGAGAGAGAGAGAGAGAGAGAGAAAGAGAGAGAGAGTCGTGTACATTGGAGAACGGTTCGCCTAAATTTATGCTGATGACAAATCCATGTCATTGTCAGTTCACTGAGCGGATGTTGTTTATTCACGGAATATCTTTGTTGTATGTTCTTGGGGGATATGCTTGAGTATAAACGGTACCCATACATTGTCTGCAAAAGCTTTGCTGAGGGATCGCCCATCTGCATAGCACAGAGCAATAGTTATTTGTTATGCCACATTGCAAGAAGCTGTGCGTTGTACGAGTCACTCTAAGGCTCAATGCCTTCACTCTCACTGAGGCTGTATGCTAGTAGGTTAGGTGTGTGAACAGTACTGAATATATCTTTATTTTAGTAGGTTAGATGCGTAAACATGTTTGCTATGTGTTCTTTTCATGGCACACATGGTTTTTGACAAAATTCTGTGTTTTGCTGCTTTCGGATCTTTACTCACAAGGACATATCCGACACTTGGAAGGACATGGACTTCCCTGTATATTTATTTTTATATTTTTTCTTCTTTTCCGTCTTTTTGAAAAAGGGGATAGCATACCTTTCTCTGCCTTTTGGCTAAGATCAATTGTATTATCTGTTCTGATCAGTTTAATATCTGATCCGTGGTCCATTGGGCCACATTAAAAAAAAAAGAAAAAAAAAAGAAAAAGGGGATAGCCCCTAACATTGTTGTACCGATCTGATTCCGTCAGGATTCGAACTCATGAGCTGTTCATTAACAGTGACTTGCATGCACCGTGGAGTCACATGGGCTGGACCCCCGGAGATACTGCGAACAAGTACACGGATTTTCCAGCATGTTTCCAGGGTGTACTCAATCGGGCTCTGTACCAGGCTGAATCTGATCCTGGAAGCTGCAGTATACATAGGTCCTAGATACTTCTGTCAGCTGCTGAGCAGCAGCTTCCAATTTTGAGTCTGCTGAGCTCCACTTTGATGACCAGCCCAACAGTCATTGGCCTACAGGGTATTCTGCCAGCTTGTCTCTACATGTCACAAGTTTTTTCTCTCTCTTTGTGTCCTCTCTCTCTCTCTCTCTTGTCTCTCTTCTTCCTCTCTCTCTCTCTCTCTCTCTCTCTCTCTCTCTCTCTCTCTCTCTCTCTCCT